GTTTTACAGTGGCTCCAATTCCATCCACAACTCCTTTTCCATGCATTGCAGCAAAAAAATACCAGTGCATTTTAATTGTATGCTTTTTTTCTAAAATTTTCATTGATGTCAAAATATATTTATTTTTAAATTGTGATGTTGCGTTATCACTGAAAATATGAACTTCTGTAATATCGTCTGATAGAAGCTCGATAATTTTATTTATGTTTGGAACAACAGATAATTTTGTATGATCGCTTGAATCACAAACTAGCGCAAAAGATTTAATTTGACGATGCCAAACTGCACATGTAAATATAGAAATGTGATTTTGACCAAAATGAGCTGCTTGCGTGTCGTTTTGGTAAATACAAGTATAATTTTCTGCCCATTCAACTTGAATAACAGCCTTATTTGAGTCTTTTTGAATTGCTGATTCTATATTAAATTTAAATACGGACGATTGACTGCTCTTGACTTACAATGATTAATAAATTGCACGCATTTCGTTAATATGTGATAATAAAACTGCAATTGTTCCTTCTTTTTTAACCTTTTCTATTTTGATATACGAATTTGCTTGAGGTTTCTGCCTCTGATTCCATGAAACATCTAACTCAAATTGTTCGAACTGAAGTAATAATTTATCAAACATATTACAAACAGTACATTCTTTGCAAACGGCATTGAATCATTGTTTTGTTGGTTTTTCACAAATAAAATTTAGAATCATAGAGTTTCCTGTTTTAATTGTAGTGAATATATCTGAACCCCGCGAAAGTGATTCAAGAGCATAACGCATATTTTCATGTAATATGCAAACGCACACCTTATGAGGAATTGATGATACACATCGAACGTAAATTGGTCTCAACTGACAAAATTTTGACAGGCTTAATTTAATATCTGCATTGTTTAGCTTAAACTCTTCGAAAGCTTCTTTTAGCGTATATAACATGTGTCGAATTTGAACACGCACCTTTTTTTCTCCTATCACTACAGAAGTATAATCTGCTGTTCTTGGGGATATTCGACTTATTTCATCGTCGCAATAAAAATTTTGTATAACCACTAAGTCTTTTTCTCGGAGACTGTTTGTTGATTTAGGAATTGAGTAAGTTAATGGTTGAGTTTCATTGAGTAAACAACACAACAGTTCCTTTTTCTGAACAAGACTTTTGGGAAGAGAGCGATTCAATTTTTTTATATACTTTCCTTTAACTTGCATATTTGCAAATGATGAGTGATTTGATTCGAGAGATAAAGATGCGTCTTTTTGCCGCAGTCGAAATTTTCTCATTCTTTCTAAATTTTTTAATCTTTAAGCTGCAATTTTTCGAAAATCTTTTTTCCATCTTTGTCTTCGAAGTCTAGCATTTTCTTTAGCTTTGTATTTCTTTTCTTCATGATTTCTACTCATGTAATTCTTTTGATTCATTGATTTTCTATTTATTATCTTTATGGCTGTAATAAAAAAAGTAAACATTCAAATAAATGTAAAAATTACTTAAAAACTCTATAAAAACACAATGCTCACCTTTTTTATTTTCATTGGATGCACAAGGAACTGGTTCCTGCAGTGATTCCATATCTTTTATTGACTATAAAGTCTTTTGGAGTTTTAATTAATTTCTAATTGACTATAAATGTTTTGAAGTTCAAAATAGTTTGGGCAAAACTATTTGTTGCATTTAAAAAAATTGACAAAATTTGCGACATTTAAATGTTTAAAGGTTTTTTTTAACTATTTGATGCCAATTTTTTTTAATTATTGCAAAACCTTAATATGGCTAATTAGTTGACGTGAATATTCAACAAGGATTTAAAAAAAAATTTTAAATTGATGAAAAAAGACAACTTTTCCTTCCCAGCGGTCAGCTACGCATCATGATTGTGTATAAAAAAAAAATTTGGCTTATATCGCGTGAAATAACTAAAAAATTAAAGGTTAGTGCTTTAACATATTAAACCAGCTTTGCAGCCGACCAATTTGAAACTAATTGGAAAAATTTTGGATCACTACAAGATTTTAAAAAAATAATGAAAGTTAAACACTTTTTCTTAAATGAATTTATACTTTTTCTGTTTACTTTAAAATCTATAAACAACTTGTTCAATTATTTATTTATTTTTTTTTAACATTTAAGACTATATACTTATAGTAATGGAAAAAAAAATTCATTATTTTTATTTTTTAAAACGAGATTTGTTTTAATAACCGCGTGGAACTCTACATATATATATAGATCTATTTTGTAAAAATTGCTTTTACATTATATTGATCACTCTCAAGTAAACAAGAGGATTTGTATCTCAACCAGATACAATAATAACAATATATATATATATATATATATATATATATATATATATATATATATATATATATATATATATATATATATATCCTTATAGTGGAGTCGAAAGAGACTTTTATGGTAAAAAAAGTCTCTTTTGACTACAATATTTTTACCTTGTCTCTTAAGCTGCATTTTATTGTTGTCGAAATGTCAAAGCAATTAAATTAATGCGGAAGTACATTAAATTTTATTGTTTTTTAAAAAAACCGCAATAATGACTAGAAAGTTTTTTTTAATTAATGGTGTTTTTGTTTTTTTTTTATTAAAAAACATTTTTAGTTAAAACATGTGTAAGTGTTGCTACATCGACTATCTTATAGCCTGCTGCTACAAGGGAGTGTTGCTAAATCAACTATCTTATAGCCTGACTCGCAACAGAGTGCTGCTATATCGACTGAGGGCTTGGTTTGGGCAGGCAGTCTATCATTAAAAAAAAAATTTTTTTTTTTAACTTTTTCAACATTTTCTGGTCAGGTTTATTAACGCGTTCTTTAAAACAACAGTTTATGACAAAAACTTTGTGACTACCATGCAAAATGGGAGCTTTAGCTATCTCTCTCGCCCACGCTCCCCTAAAACGGTTTACGGGAGCAATTTACAGCTCTTGCAAAAGTATAATTTTTTGTACAAAAGTAGAATTCTTGTTGTAACTAAAGTAAAAAATATAATGTCATTTAAAAAAATCAATTGCATAATATAATGCTTTTTAAAAAGTTGCAAAAAAAAGTTAAAATCAAAAAAGAACGCTAATTTAAATGAGTAGCAGCTCGCACAGCTCCCCAAGTTCGTTTTAGGAGAGCTTTTCTCCGCTCTCATACTCATTTATTCCTGGTTGAGATACAAATCCTCTTGTTTACTTAAGAGTGATCAATATAATGTAAAAGCAATTTTTACAAAATAGATCAATATATATCAGGGTTGGCAAAAACCCGGGTTTTTTTAAAAAAACCCGGCCCAGTGGGTTTTATTGGGTAAATTTGGGTTTTTTTGGGTTTAATTTTTATTTTGTCTCTATAAAAAAAATTTTTGTTTTTGTATAATGATATTGAAAATTAGTTTTTTTCTACTTTAACTTTATTTAAATATATTTTATATGTTGTTGTTTAATTATTTATAACAAGAATTTTTCAAATTATTTTGAAAAAGATTTTTAAATATAATTTAAAACTGTAATAGAAAAAAAAAATTTCACGCCAAATCTATATGTATTGATTTATTTTAAATTTAAAAGTATTATTCTACATAATTAAAAATGTCAATGAGAAAATGTGAAAAAGAAGGCTAGAGAATGGGAGGTAGTAACTGAAGTTTCAATTAAACTTTGAACTTGAAATTTAAATGAACAAACTTGTTCCTCTGCGCAGTGGCCTTGTTTATAAAGATTTGTTTTTAGGAGTTAAAGAATTTTTTTTTTTTTTTTTTGATTAATTCACCACCTCAAGGCTTAAGGCCACTACAGGTGAGGAGGCTACTTATTTGTGGTTATAACCCTCTCTTAACTCTATAACTCCGAAACACAAACCTTGACGAACAAGGCCGCTGCACGGAGAAAGGAGTTGAGCGCAGTACTGCCAGGGACGTGGTGAGGATCGAACTCAGAACCTCTCACTTATGAAGTGAGCGCTCTACCACAACACCACTATGGCGTAAGAGTTGAGAGAGGGTTGTAACCACAACAAGGTAGCCTCTTTGACTGTTGTGTTGGCTTCTCTGGTCACTACTACTCATTTAAATTCAACTTGGGAGGTGAATAACATAAAGTAATAAAAATCTCAATCGATAAAAATATTTGAATAAAAATTGTAATAATGTATTTCCAAATAATGATTCAAATAATAGTAAACCTGCTCTGATAGCTGTTATTGTTGGTTATAATAGTTAATAATAATAGTTAATAATAATTAAGTTAATAATAATAGTTTATAGTTATTTCAGTAAATAATATTATAGTTATAATGTTAAAGTTGGTTATAATAGTTCATAAACTTATTAAATATTTTTAAAAAAAAACAATAAAACCCAGATTTTCCAGGGTTTTATTGGGAGGGTTTTTTTGGGTTTTATTGGACGGGTTTTTTAATGCCAACCCTGATATATATATATATATATATATATATATATATATTATATATATATATATATATATATATATATATATATATGCAAGAGAGATTGAAGGTTGGCTGCAAGAGCATATATATATATATATATATATATATATATATATATATATATATATATATATATATATATATATATATATATATATGCAAGAGAGGTTGAAGGTTGGCTGCAAGAGCATATATATATATATATATATATATATATATATATATATATATATATATATATATATATATATGTAGTAAAAAATAAAACAACATAATTTTCACAACTTTAAGTTTCATGCTGTTGCAATCATCAGGTGAAATACAAATATAGTTTGTTTGTTAAAAAATTATATACAATTAAAACTATACAGAAAAAACCTATACAGAAAAAATAAATGATTTTTCATTTTAAGAAAAGGTTTTATAAATTTTATTTATTATTATTATTTTTAAATTTTAAAGATATTAACAAAAAAAGGAATTCTATTAACTATTAATTAATCCTATTAAAAGCCTATTAACTTTTATTTTTTTTTAATTTTACTTTTAGGTGAGCCAGACAGAAAAACAAGATTTGCAAAAAGACTTTTTGATTTAAAAATATCAATTTGGAATTTTGTAAGTTTTTTTTTGTTTTTATTATGTCTAATTGTGAGTTAAATAAAAAATTGGGTTGCATTAAATTTCTAAATGCTTTAAAATTTGGTGAGCATTAGTTATGTTATGTTTCTTTTGATTGGATGTCATTTATCATGGTACTTGAATGAAAAACAAAATATATTTTTAAAATATTTGAATATAATCCATAGATTTTCATTTAGTATACAAAAAGGCACAAAAATACAAATGCCTGAGGATTTATTTTTTTAAATGTAAATTCTGTGGGATCTGTTAAAGAGCTCAATAAATCATTATTGACCTTAGATGTAAACTATTTTCTTTCTCTGGTTAACTCTGTTATTGTGTTTTAAATCATTATTGACCTTAGATGTAAACTATTTTCTTTCTCTGGTTAACTCTGTTATTATGTTTTAAAGTTTCTAAAGAAGACATCTGAACTAATGACATAATTATTCATTCTTCTGAACTAATGACATCATTAATCATTATTCATTAATTAAATTTATTTATATTGAAGAACACAAAATGTAACAAAAGGATCGTTGCATTGCTCACTTCTAAGGAACAAGAAGCAGCCAATAACAATGTGAAAGAAAAATTGTGCACATTTATTCAAATCCTAAAGTTATACTTTTTAATTGTAAATAACCTTTAATTTTTTTAGATTCACGAAAGATTGTCAGATTTTGTCAATGATGAAGATTTGGCTGTGCCAGAGGAAGAAGAGGAGCAGTTATCAGTAAGAAGGTTTGTGAAGAAATTCAAGCAAATTTTTATTATTATTGGTAAAAAGAACAACAAATAAGTTTAAGATTTCTACTAAAGTTAGTGATATAGGCATAACTCTACTTTACCAAATTTTATTTTATAAGGTTCATATTACAATTATATTTTTAAACTAATGAGATTTGTGCAATGCAACTAATAGAAAAAAATTACTACAGATTGCTAGAATAGGTCATAATAGTGGGATTAAAATAATAGTATTTCATAATAGGGTAACTTGTTAAGTTTGCAGTTTACTGTCTAGCAGTGAACTGTAAACTTAACAAAATAACAGAGTTTTAGTTTGTATTTGAGGCAGTTATATAAATTTTTAGAACTTTTTTTGTATACAGTTTGGTTATAGATAGAAGGTTTACTTGAAAAAGTTGTTCAGCCCCTTCAAAGTTTTACTTTTGAAGTGACATTTTTTTAATATGGAGAAACACATTTTAAAATAGCATATCCTGATGTGTTTTGGTTAATATTTAATTATAATACTGCATTTAAGGGTTTTAGCTTAAGTTAGCATTCTTGCATTAATACTATCTATTTTGTTTTACTTCGTCTTGACGAAATACTGAGTTATATCACATTTTAAGTAACTCTATGTTTATCTGGACCATGTAAAATATGACTAATACTATTGAGTTCATTATTTACTGCAGTACAACTATAGTTAAGTTCATTTATTGTAGAATATCCATAATCCTAATTAAAAGTTGTTTTTATATTATTTTTCTACAATTTTAGTTTCAGTTTGCTATTAGTTCTTAAGATAATTTTTGTTTTAATTCATGTTCTGAATTCATAGTTCAGAAAAAGAACTAAAATAAAATGTAAATTAAATATAAATTTTGATTTCTAGTTGTTTTTTTCGGTTCTTGCTCCAAAAAAATCACTTGTGTAGTTAAAAACTAGTCATTGAAGTGACACCTTAATAAAATAAACAAATAAAGCAAAAAAAAAAGTAATATAGTATATAAAATAAAAAGAAGAGCAGTAATATTTAAAAAAGCCAAATAAAAAAAAAGGAAAAAGTGAATGAGCCGACATGAGAGATAATGAATAAATAACACAACGTTTGATGATCAGAAGGATAATAGTAAATAAAAAAGAAAACAAAAGGAATCTTTTAAATATTTTGATGAGATAAAAAATAAGAAATAACTTGAATAATTGAAACAAACATGAAAAGCAACAATAATTAAAATAATCAGCCACAAGACCACCAAAAAATACAATTCAACATAAACAATACACAAATACACATGTTAATATAAATGATGCACAAAATTACATGACAGTATAAACAAAACAAAGAAATGCATGACAATATAAAAAGTACATAAAAATACATAATATATATAAAAAATACACAAAAATACACGTCAGTATAAACAATCCAAACAAAATAAATTAATAAAACTTAAAAAATGTTCTTTTTGTTTTCTTGCAATATATATATATATATATATATATATATATATATATATATATATATATATATATATATATATATATATATATATATATATATATATATATATATATATATATATATATATATATATATATATATATATATATATGTATATATATATATATGTGTATATATATATATGTATATATATATATATATATATATATATATATATATATATATATATATATATATATATATATGTATGTATGTATGTATATATGTATATATGTATATATATATATATGTATATATATATATATATATTATGTATATATATATGTATGTATATATGTATATATATATATATATATATATATATATATATATATATATATATATATATATATATATATATATATATATATATATATATATATATATGCCAGAATAGAATTCACTTTTTCAAGTTTAAAAGGTTCCAAAAATTTTTAGAAATTACTATTATCCTCTGAGACCAATTCTGCAATAGCAAGAATATAACATCGTTTCACACCAGAATTTCTGTGCGTGTCTTAAGAGAAAAAATAATTGAAAGGTTAAAATAGTAAATTTGTAAAAAAAAAAATTAAATATACAAATCATAATGTTAACAACTACTGTTACTATTTTCATTACTTTTACTATTTTTATTACTTTTTTTTTAATACTACTTTTAGGTTAAAAGAGAACATGTCACGATTTTGTAGGTTTTTTATTTCCTTATTAATTCATAATGTGTTATTTTAAAGTTTTACTTTTTAAATTTATTTATTGTTAATTTTAACTGCAGCTGCAGCAATATCACCTATAAAACGATTTTATGGTGTTTGTAGTGATTTGTTTGCATGGAGAAACCCTTGGTTTACTTTGACCATATTTTTGGTTTGTTTTTAATAATTTTTATTTAACTTACAAATTTTTATTTAAGTTTTTTTTTTTATGTCATAACCAAATTCAATATTAGCTTCATCATTTTATGTAGCTGACCATTTATATAAGTTTTACTTTTCTTTGTTTTAAATTTTTAGTATTTTTTTATCTTAGCCTGTTTTCAAAATTTTGTAGTTACAAAGAATTAATTATCCAAAATTAAAACTTAAAAATCTCATATCTACATATATTTGACCTATTTAAACTAAAGTTGTCTAGTGTTTGTTTATATACTACAGCCCTCGGAATCATGAAAAATTAATTAAAAAAACCCTCAAACTGAAAAAAGGTTGGCATCAGGTTGGAATAAAAAATTTGACACAAAAGGTTTACCATTGGGGATTGTAGTATTTAACGGTTTACCAGTAAATAAATTTTTGTATTTTAACGGTAATTCAAGTTTTTTGATATGTAAAGATTTCTTAAATTCATATTTGCTAGTTATTTTTTTATAATAAGTAAATAACCAGCAATTATGGATTTTATATATATATATATATATATATATATATATATATATATATATATATATATATATATATATATATATATATATATATATATATATATGTAATTGCTGGTTATCTTAATATAAATAAATAAATTATTTATATACATTTTTTGTCAATAAACTTTTAAAACTTAAGAGTTTAAAGCATTTTTCTGTTTGAAATTATATAAGCTTGTTTTGCAAAATTAATTAATAAAACTTTTTTGATTTCTAACGTTTTTAATAGTTAAAGAAAAAAAAAAATTTAATTTAATTTCAAAGATCTACGCTACTATTTAATGGATCAATTTAAAATTACTATCATTTAAATTTAAACTTTTTTGAATTTAAAATTTTAACATGTGTTACCTTTGTTTTGGAGGATGATGTATATACATTTAAATACATTTTACATGAAAGTACTGTCGTCCATAGTTATGCTTTAAAAGAGCTTAGCGATTACAATTTAATAACATAAGCAATATTTTTCTTTGTCTAAGGGTCTTTATCTTTTTCACTTAAAAATATTAAAAAACACATAAACCTTAAAATACCCCAAATTTAAGACGCTTCAGGCTGAAAAAGTGTCAACCAAAATACATAAATAATAATTAATTAATAAAAAGTAATCGTTAAAACTTAAAATATAACAGAATGCTAGCCAGTATACATTTTAAACATTTTTTTATTTTTTATTTTAAATAATTTATTTTGTTTTAGCGCTTTGTCAACAAAACTTGTCAAAAAATAATAACTGAAAAAAAAAATTCATTTTTTTGTCAAAAAATAGTAACTAAAAATTTGTCAAAAAATACTAAAAAAAAAATCTCATGATCTCAAAAAGAAAAATCACTAGTTTTGCAAAATGAATGTTTTATTAAACTAATTAATTTTAGTAATGAACTAATTATGTAGAAATATTCAATATTTTCTCAAATTATCAACAATCTAACAGATGTTTTATCACCAAGTGAAATTATTTTTTGATGTCTCTAAATTGTTAGCCCAGACTCAACTTGACAGCAAGAGCAAACAGCAAGACAGCAACTTGAGTTATGAGATTGGCTCAACTTAGTATACAACTGGATTAATGTAAGGAAAAAAAAACTCAATGCTTAAAAGAATTATCATTAAAGAAATAAAAGCAACAGCTCAAACTATTTTCTAATAACAACAAAACTCAAACCATCTTAAGAAAGTATACTTTTGAAAAAGATTATGTAATCAAAATTTGGATTAAAAAGCTCTTAAAATATATGCAATGCTCATAAAAACATTTACATTTATGAAGATATGGTGCTAATGTTGTTTAAAAATTGGAGCATGGTACTTCCAATAATATGATTATTTCAAATTCTCTACTTCTTTCTTATGAAGCAAGTGCTTTATCTCTATTCCACACAACTAATTTTCACTAAAACAATTATCACATAGTCATAATGTTGCGTCTCTTTCTCTTTTCTACAAATACTATAATGGGCACTGCTCTAAAGAGCTAGCGTCTCTTGTGATATCTAATAAAATTCATTCTCATGTTACTCGTCATTCAATTAAGTCTCACCTTTTTTCTATGACTGTTCCTAAGTGCTCCAAAAACTCTTATTCGTCAAATTTTTTTCCTCAAACATCAGTTCTTTGGAATTCGCTTCCTTCATCTTACTTTCCTGATTCATATAATTTGAAATCTTTTAAGTTGTCTGTCAATCGTTATCTTGCTCCACAAACTTCATCTTTTCTCTTCCTGTAACTTCCAGCTCTAATAGTGATTGCTTGCAGCCTTGTTGAAAGCGAAGATGTTGAAAAAAAAAACAAAAACTACAAGTTCAGATTTCTTTTTTTATAAAAATTTTAAATTTAATTAATCTTCAAACTTTAAAATAATAAATAAGTATTTTTTGCATTTTCATTCTTCCAAATGGTAGAAATTTACAAAAATACATGAAGATTATAAAAATAATTTTTGATATCAAAAATATTTTAATATCAATTTAGTTTGTAGGAATTTTTCTCTTTATCTTTAATTTTTTTTTTGTTTATTTTATAGGTCTATTTTTATGCGTTGTGGGTGGAAATGATAATTCCACTTTTGGTTTTACTTATTCTAATTCAACTTACTTTAAATTTTCTACATACTAGGTATGCAATCTGTTCAATAATGTATTTATTTATTTTTTTTATCATAAAAAAATGTTGTTTTCTTAAATATTCTGTTATGTTTCTCTTTATTTATTATTAACCTTATAAATCTCTATTATTTTAGAGGTTTTCATATATTATCAGATAATAAAAGGAAAAATTCTGATTCAGAGGTTAGTTTTATTTTGAAATTCGCTTTTTTTAGTTTATTGAAATCGAATTTTCTTAAATTGATAAATGATTTTTTTATTCAGCTGAGTCTGTTTTACTAAAATAGTTTGTGTGAACTACAATTAACTGATTGGGTTGATATTTTGCAACACTAAAGTAATTTTCCTGTAAACATTGTAACATACGCCGTAACATTGCAATTAATTTTGCAATATTGGTGGTTGATTATAACATTAATAATGTTGATGTAGATTGTTTTGACATTGTTCTCATTGTTTTGTACATTCCTAATGTACATTTAACATCAATGTTATTTTCATGTAATGTTCAGCATAAAATGGATCCCAATCTTACTCAAGTATATTGAGCTTGGTTTTAAAAGTAATCTAAAGTTACAATAAATTTTTTCAGGAAGTAAAAGAAGATCAGGCATCTCTCAGTGAGCGCTATCAATTGGTGTTACAGATAGCAAAAAAAGTGCAAAATACATTGGGCAGCTTTGCTGATTCTTTAGAAAAAATTGAAAGGTAAAAAATATTTTTTTATAAATTAAAAACCAAGTTAACTGATTATTAAAACCAGTAACAATAAAGTATTATTAAATAAAGTAAATTTAATAAAGAAGGCAATAATTTGTAAACCTGATAATCTACTGTAGTTTGTATATATAAATTTTTGGTTGACACAAAATGTTGATAATGGCATAATACTTTATCAGGGTAATACATAGTAAAGCTATAACTACTTATGTGATTAGTGTGTGGACAGGTGAAATATGTTTCTGGCAGGATTATTTGAAATTGACGGACCCGTAAAAATACGGGTTTTTGTAAGTCTATTCCACATCAACCTATTCTATACATTAACCTATTCTATACATACAACCTATTCTATACATACAGTATTGTCTGATCAGACAATACTGCTCTTTACCTAACCAATTTCTATACTTATCTAATCCACGCTGATCATTTCTATACTTATTCCTTATTTACTTCAATATTTTTTAAGTCAGCGTTAGAAAAACAATTCATTAAAAAAATCTGCTTTAAGAAGAAAAAAATTAACATGCGCACCTTTTTCATGTTATAAAACATTTTTTTTAATATTATTTGAATTCACTCCCAACAAGGCTGTAAGCAACCACTATTTAGTTGGTAGTTACTAGAAGAAAAAAAAAAAAAAGAGTTAAAGAGCAAGGAAATGTTTGACAGAATACATTAAAAACTGTAGGTCGAGTCACAAAAACATTAAGGTTGGAGAGAGTTCCGAAGGGTTGAAGTGCGGGGAAGAAAACTAGAGGAATAAAAGTTATTGACGGTATTGCGATAGTTGTTTGCAGTAGTTAACTTGAGTTTTTTTGGAGTTAAAATTTGCAAGCCACTGTGAGCCTCAATCAGTTACAGAAGTGAGATCAGGTTCAAGATCAGCTGTCTGCTTTAAGCGATTGAAAAGAGAAGACTTTTTGACATCATCATCAGCAAAAAGAGCTACTTTAGATGTAAAATTGTTGGGAAGATCTCGTATCTTTTATACATTAATGTATAAAAGATACGAAACAGAACCAAGAATAGAACCTTGAGGTGCCCCAGAAATTATTGGAAATGAAGAAGAATGTTAGAAATGATTCAATAATCTCAATAACTTTCTCAGATACACCACATGAAGCAAGCTTATGGAGAAGACCAGCATGCTAAACTTTGTCGAAAGCTTTTGATATGTCAAGACCAATAGCTCTCACTGTCTATATAATAATCTCACTGCTTCCATATAATGCGCAATAAAATCTTTCAGTCACAGCAGTTAGTGTGAGGATCGAAAACCGTATTGATTGTCTGACATTTAGTTATTTGACTCATAATAGGATGTGAGAAACTTGTTGATCAAAGACTCAAAAACCTTGCTAATAACATAAAGAAGACTGATCGGACAATAGTTGGAGGGGTCAGAATGTTCTCTGAAATTTTTGAAAATTGGAACAACAGATACCATTTTCCAGCAAGCAGGAAAACAAGACTCTGTCAAACATTTAAATAGTTTAGAGAGAATTGAAGAGAGTTCTGGAGAACAATTTTATAAGACTGTGACAGGAATGTTATCTGGACTACAAGTTTTAGAAGAGTTTAATTGAGATATGATTTTAGCAATTGAAGCTGGAGTGATTTGAATGTCTAACAATGGGTTAACCTGTTTAATTGGAATGGATGGAAATGAATGACCATAAGATTCAAGAGTCAAATATAAAAAAAAGTTATTTGCAAATAGTTCTGCTTTATCCTTGGGAGAAGTAATAAGATCAGTTCCATGAATGAGAGATGGAATGTTAGACCAACCCTTGTTAATGAGGCTGTTGAAGATTTTCCTAAAGTCTCTAGAGTAATCTGAGATAAGATACGAGATTTAGTGAACTGAGAATAATAGAGCTTAGCATCAGATAGCATCTTTTTACATTGATTACTTGCAATAATAAAAAGTCGTTTGTTCTTAAAAGAGTTGTTCTTTTGAAAAAGATTTTAAAAAAATGGTTGCAAGAAGATATAGCAGCGGCACAAAATTAAAAGTAGAATGAGGCTTGACTTGGAACTGATGAGAAGGAAAAAAAAATTCCATTACTGCCTGAATCCAGGAGTTTACGTAGTTTATCAGCAGAAAAGACAAGGACTGTCACAAAGAAAATTTCGAAAAGAATCCCAGTCAGCTTTAGGGTTGTAGTAAGTATTGCATTGATAAGTTGAGTCCGAATAAGAAGTATGAGGTAAAAGATTTATAGAGTTTTTTCTCCATAATCTAAGTTTGTTTCTCCTAGCCTTCGCTTAAAAAAAGCACACCCTACAAGGTAGCAGGGCATAAGGCAGGTAGTACTGAGTTACATGATACCAGTAGCAGGGTGATTGTGATGATCCTTAACCTGACCTGAACCGGAGTAGTTAAAAGGAGTTAATTACCGCAAACAGTTCTTTAAAACATCAGGCATAGCATTTTAAAAATGCATTAGTTAAAACACTACAATTAACAAAATACTAGAGACTATGGTGAGCATAAGTTTTATAGTTGGAGTAAATAGTTAGTTACTCAGCTTACACTGCATCAAGCTAATAAGTTCTTATTTAGTATTTATGTTGTTTGTTCTTGTTTCTAATTATATAATAATGTTGTTTTACCTTAAACATAATTAAGATATTTTATTTTAGTTTGTTTCTTTGGGAGCAGATGGAAGCAACAAAGACAATTTACTATTCATTGTGGGTTATTTTTGTAGCTTCATGTATTTTACCCACCAATACCTTTCTTCTATTTCTAGGTATATAGTATTTTATTTCTTTTATTTTCAATAATAAGTTATGAATGGAAATCTATAAAGTTGAAACTTGCACAGTTACAAAAGTAAAATTTTCAAATTTTTGTTGGTTTAAAATAGTGTTAGTGTATTAAAATAGTGTTAGTGTATACAAAAAGCTCAATATTCTTAAAAAATGGAGCATATATATATATATATATATATATATATATATATATAATATATATATATATATATATATATATATATATATATGTATATATATATATATGTATATATGCTCCATCAAAAATGTTCAGTAAAAGAAAAAGAAAAAAAAGGATGCTATGCCGCGTAAAATAAGAAATCATAAAATAAACATAATAAAAAAATTATTTATCATCTTGCAAGAGCAAGAATATTTATTTAGACAATTTCTCATCACAAACAATAACAAAAATAAATACCCAATTTAAAAAAAAATAAAAAATTAATAGCTCAAAAATTGTACATGTTAAATTTTATTTTATGTTAACGTCACTTTTGATATTTTGAAATTCGTTTGTTTTGTCATTAGACTTTATAACAAAATGTTTTTTCATTTTATCAAAAAAAATATGAAAAAACATTAATATAAACTTTAAACAACATCTTATAAAGAGATTATTTTTTTAAATAAAAAAATCAACTTCTTTTATGGGTATAACTCGATTAATAATTTTTTTGCTTGAATTTACAGTTGAAGTAATATAGCTCTTGCAGACCTATTGTTTAGATTTATAAGTTTTACTTTGTGAAAAATAATAGTTTAGAAAAATATTACTTTATAATAGTTAAATCATCTTTATATGAATTACAGATTGTGCTTTATCAAAAAAAGGAATAACAAAAATTTCTATTTATTTATGAAAGAATTTTGATTTAAAAAGTTATTTAGATAAAAAAAATGTTTGTTTTTTTTGTTTTTTTTCTTGTTTTTTCATTCTCCTTTTCTATTTTTTACAAAAATTAAATTCATTGTAAATATGTTATAACTTATAAAGTTGCATCAAAAATATTCATAAATTGTACATTTTTTAACTTTTTTAAGCCAAGTGAAAGCGCAACGGTATATATTTTTTGATAAATGATACTTGAATCTTTATTTGTTGCAAAAATAAATGCTGGTAAAGTAATTAAGTTTTTTTCTTAACAACAAGTAATATTTTTTGTTTGTTAGCAACTTTTTAAAAGTAAAAAGTCATTATTTGCGAAGCCACAATTTTAAGAAGTAAGGAAAAAAAACAACATATTTTTCATAATTCATTTATACTAATGTCAAGGAAAGAAAGAAATTAATTTATGTTAAATGATAATAAAAAAATAAATTTATTTCAAATTTAAAAAAAAAAAATTACAATAAATTAGACATTCCTCAATATGTACATTTACAAAATTAGTATTTCTTAATTAGTAAAATAAACTTGTTTTGGGGTAATTTATTTTATTGGCGTAGTTTAAAAAAGTTAATGGCCTTAAATAATAAAAAAAAAAAGATAATTTTATGATGTCAAAATCGTGAGCAAATGAGCTTAGCCTTTTTTTATTTAAAACAACAAACAAAACATTAAAAATAGCTTTGACTTTACTAGTTTAGTGGCTTGGTAATAAATTTTTTTGATATTGTCACAATCAGATTTGAGAAATGAGACTGAAACTGTAAATTATAGTAATAAGCAAATGAGACTTGAACTATAGTCAGGGATTATCCTTTTCCGAATATTTCTGGGGTTCCGGATATTTTTTTCAACTTTTAGTTTTTCCGGATATCCAAAATATTTTCAATACATGCAAGTTGAGGTATATATTTTTGTAATATATTTATTTTTTAAGCTTTTTCACTCATCACTTAATAAAAAATTATGAAAAATATAAAAAAAATTAGAAACAACTTAACTAAAAGCAAAATTAAAAAGAAAATAAGGGAAAACAAATTCTGGATTTTTTCCGGATATTTTTTCCAAACCATTTTTCCAGATTTTTAAAATATGACTAAGATAGTCTATGTATAGTGATAAGCAAATAAAAAATCAAGAACCGTTATTATCGAAACCATAGAAGCATATCAGTGGTTATAGATATTGTTTTCGTTTTAAAATACAGTTTCAAGCTAAATTACTTTTTTTGTATTTTTTTTATTAAATTATAACATAATATAGTTGTTCATTATTTATATATTTATTATTATGTTATAATTTTAACTGGTTACAGTTATATTACTAACAATGTTTCTTGAATAATAAGTTTTTGTCTTTATTTATATATCTTGTAAATAGTAAAAATTATTAATAATAAAATACAATTGAAATCATTATCAATAAAGTATGTTTTTAGGTATGTTTTTTGGTGTTAAAATGTTTCTTATTACTCCAATATATGTGCGCTTTCCAAAGGTAAATTTTTATTATAATTTCATAAAATTTATTTCATTTATTGCACTGTTGCAAAATATATGTATATATATATATATATATATATATATATATATATATATATATATATATATATATATATATATATATATATATACATACACATAAAATCAAGGCACAAAATAAATTTGTTCTTTAGTTTAGCAGACATGTCCAACAAAACTTAATATATATATATATATATATATATATATATATATATATATATATATATATATATATATATATGTATATATATAAATATATATAAATATATATATAAATATAAATATATATATACATATATATATATATATATATATATATATATATTATATATATATATATATATATATACATATATATATATATATATATATATATATATATATATATATATATATATATATATATATATATATATATATATATATATATATATATACATACATACATACACATAAAATCAAGGCACAAAATAAATTTGTTCTTTAGGTTTAGCAGACATGTCCAACAAAACTTAACAAAAAAGTTTACTTTAGGGAAAGAAATTCCATTGCACACTATTTCTGTTTTTTAAAAATTTTTAAAAAACATTTTTATAATATAAAGGACGAATCCAGATCTTTTTTGATACCACTGGAGCGTTATAGGCACCCAAAAAAAAAAGCACTCAAAAAATGTTTTATTTTTTAAATTTTTCTTTTTCTTTTTTATTAAAAATAAAAACAAAAAAATTTAGTTTCAAATGCAGTAGTATATAAATAATTTTCTGTTTATTTTTGCTACTTCATTTTTTTCTTTAGGAATTTTAGAGTAATTACTTGAACGTAAGATTTTAAATAATGTATGTAACAAAACTCAATTTAATAACTCATTACAAAACTAAAAGACAAAGGAATGCATAAAATTTGTTTTTTCGTAAGATTTTAAAATATCCATTTAGAGTTAAAACGGTTTTAAAATATCCATTTAGAGCAAAGTTAATTATAATCAAGTTGTTTGAAAATAAAATAACAAAAGTTAAAAGGTCAGTCTAAATAACAATGTAGTAAATGTGCAAATAACTTTTGAATGCTTTTTTGAATATTTTATTTTATATTAGGAAAACAAAAAAAAATGTTGTTTCTTTTCCATATTCTTTTCGAACTAGTAATTATAAAAATAACGATCACAATAACTTTATAAAAGCTTTATTAAGATTAAGTTATTTTTAAACTTTAAATGTTTAAAAGAATCTATAGTAAATGTAACTTATTTTAATTATACCTAACAATGAAAAAAATATGTTTAGCATAATTATCTTTTTAATTTAAGACACCTTAATGCACTTTAAAAATTATCAAACTTTAGTAAAAGTTAAATGATATGCTAATAATAATAATCAACAGATTTGCAGATATTTAAATTGAAACAGATTTGCTAATATTTCAATCAAAATTAAAACTAAAATAATAGTAAATATGTTTATGTGCTTATGTTTTGTATTCAAATAATTTCTGTCTGTATAATATATTATAATATAAATAGACATTTGAATATAAGACATGATTACTATAATGTTAATTTTGAAAATATTATGCAATTTGTAAATATTCATTAAAAATTGTTTCAAGTTTATAAACATTTAATAACTACAATCATAGTAACATAATAACTCAAGAATCAACTACTCAAGAATCAAATACTTATCATGCCTAATGTTTTAAGAGACTGTTTGCAGGAAGTAGCTTCTTGTAATTACTCCAGGTCAGGATCATTAAGGCATGCCCTGCTGCCTTGTAGGGTGTGCTTTTTTTAGGCAAAGGTCAGGAAAAACAAACTCTAACTTAAAAATCACCTGCTTTGGGGCTCTTGGTTAATTAAAGTCTAGAGATAGTGTATCAATAAAAATACTCATCTTGAGCAGATATTAACTGCAAAATCACACCCACCACTTGTTTTAATATATCTTTTATAAATATTTGCGGTCTGCAAAGCAACTTTCGATCAGTTGAATCTTGCAAAATTCACCAGACTTGTTTACTCTTAGTGAGGCTAATTTAAATTTTGCTATTTATTCTTCAGATCTCAGTGTTAATGGGTACTATCCTTAGATTCTCAAAGACTCCAATAGTTACATGCTTAGCTTAGTGGTATATATACGCATCAACTCACCTATTTGTCATGAAATCAGGTTCGGATCCTTTGACCATTCTTTTATGTGCTTCCGCTCAGCACCGCTACACATTATCACTTTTTTCTTTGTTCTTTATCATTCTCCTTTTTCCCAAGACTGCACTCTTTTAGATGTAATTTCTGATCAAATTAACCATGCCCTCTCTCTTTATCCTTCTGCCAATATTGTTGTTATTGGTGACTTTACCTGCTCATCACACTGAATGGCTTGGCTCTAATGCCACTGACCCTACTGGCACTAAAGCCTAAAACTTCTGCATTTTCTAATCTCTTACTCAGGTAGTTAACTTTGTTACTCATTTTTCTAATAGCTCTAATCATTTAATTTCACTCCTTAATTTATATCTTGACTCTGACCCTAGCTTGTGTTCAGTTTCTCCCTTTTCTTCTCTTTCTCCCTTAGGTGGTTCAGATCATGCAATGATCTCTATAAATCTTTTGTTTCACACTTCTTTTTCAGACTCACCCTATCATTGCACTATTCACTACTACTAAAGCTGATTAGGATTTTTTTTTGTGATTTTCTTTATGACAGTCCTTGGGCTAATGTTTTTTCTCTCTCCACTGGTAAATGCGCCTCCTATGTAACCTTCTGGATTCAGGCAGGAGTAGAAGCTTTATTCCTTCTTGTCAGTTTCAAGTCAAGACTCATTCTCCTTTTGGTTTTCACTCTCTTGTGGAGCTTGAAAACAAACGACTTTTTATTATTGCAAGTAATCAATGTAAAAAGGTGCTGTCTGATGCTAAACTCTATTTTTTTTTTTTTTTTCAGTTTAGTAAATCTCACATTTGAGAAGTTCGGCTCTAGAGAGAAAATCTACAACATTGTCATTAACAAGGATAGGTCTTACATTGCATCTCTTATTTATTGGACTGATCTTATTAATTCTCCCAATGATAAGGCAGAACTATTTGCAAAGAACTTTCCTTTTAGTTCGACTTTTGAATCTTATGGCCATTCTCTTCCATCCATTTCAATTAAAAATGTTAACCCATTGTTAGACATTTAAATCACTTCCTCTACTGTTGCTAAAGTCATATCTCAAAACTCCTCTACGACTTGTGGTCCAGATAACATTCCTGTCACAGTCTTATGTCACAGTATCTGTTACTTCAATTTTTAAAAACTAAGGAGTACATTCTGACCCCTCTAATTATTGTCCAATCAGTATTTTTTCTGTTCTTAGTAAAGTCTTTGAATCCTTGATCAACTAATTTCTCACATTCCGTCTTGAGTCAAATAACACACTGTCAAACAATCAATACGCTATACGGCTGGCTAACTACTGTGACAGGTTGGCTTGTAACTGCTGCTTTCAACAAGATTTGGCACGCTGGTCTTCTCCATAAGCTTGTTTCATATGGTGTATCCAGGAAAATTTTTGAGATAATTAAATCGTTTCTTTCTAATCGCTTTATTAAAGTCATCCTCAAAGGCTAACACTCTTCTTTATTTCCAGTAATTTCTGAAGTACCTTAAGGTTCTTTCTAGGTCCTATTTTGTTTTTTACATACATTGATGATCTTCCCAACAACTTTACATCTAAAATAGCTCTTTTTGCTGATGACTCAACTTTACACTCTTTGACAAAAAGTCTTATTTTTCCGATTGCTTAGAACAGCCAGCTGATCTTGAATCTAATTTCACTTTCTGTAATAGATTGGGGCTTGCAGAGGCTTGTAAATTTTAACTCTAACGAAACACAGTTATTTACTGCAAACAACTATCACAATGCTGTCGACATTTCTATATTAATAAATGGCAAGGTAATCACAAACAAAGTAATGATTAAAAATTATCCTCGCAGCACCGGTTTTAATTAGGGGATTTTCCACACACATGTCACTGAAAATAAAAAAACAGTGACTATGCGAAATGCTTTGTAATTTATTATAAATTATAAATATATAAATTATTTTACATATCAATGGTTCATCACAAAAAAAAAGTTAATAAATTTTTTTTTTTGAGAAAAAATAATATTATCTCATCTGATAAAAAATTTAAGTCACATTTAGTTTTTTGAAAAAAAATATACCTTTTGTTTTATATTTTTTGTGATATTTAACCTTTTAGTAGGTGCATAAACAAATAAGTCCTTAGCAACGCCTTAGTTACCGTTTTGGATCAAGCCAAACCTATCTAGTTCATTGCTAAGATTATGTTATTATAGGTCTTTCAATTATATATTGTTTTCTGAATCTGTTATGTGAAATATAACTTGTCTTAAACTGCATTATGGGATATTTTAAAATAAAAATGTTGTTTAACAGTGTGCTTGTTATAGTAAAGTTTAAATTTTAATTAAATAGTTCTCTGTGATTTTCATATTGTTTTACAGTTTATTTTTAAAGCTTTTAAATGGGTAATTGTAAGAATGTATCACGAGGAAAAAAACGTTGTAACATGTTTTATAAAAAGAAAGAAAACAACTCACTTTCTGAAAAGGAACACTTCTAAATTCAATAGCCTTAGAGGAGCTAAAATTAAATCCAGATTGCATTCATGTTGTTATGGTAATGAGAATTACAATATTATTATGAATCTTAAACTCTTGATTTTATTTTTTAAAGACTGTTTCTGTTGTCCAGAATGTAGCTCAAGTGATATTAGTTTGGTTGACAAGCTTTCATCTAGAATGGGATATGCCCATAAGTTAAGCTTGACTTGTAATGCATGCAAATTTAATAAAAAAACTTATACATCCACTGAATGTGTTAATATCAATAAAGTTCAAGGTAGAATAAAATTTGAAATAAATATTCGAGCTGTAGCTTCTTTTCGAGAAATTGGTAGGGGACACAAATCATTAGTCAATTTTTCACGATGTATGAATATGTTTTCAATTCAGCGCAAAACATATAATTCCATTTCAGAATCTTTACATGGAGCTTATGAAAATGCTGCAGAACAAAGTATGCAAAAAGCTACTCATCAGATAAAAGAAAGTTTGTTTGACCTTACTAACCCATATCCATTATGTTGTGTATCAGTAGATGGTACATGGCAGAAACGTGGATTTAATTCGATGAAGGGAATTGTCACAGCAATAAATGCAGGAAAATGTATCGACATACATGTCTTATCAAAGCATTGCAAAAAATGTGCAACTTATGATGTATTGAAAAAAAATAATATTAATTTTGACTATGATATAAAAAGCCGTGATCATTTATCAAGTGGAAAATGTTCCATAAATCATACAAAATCTTCTTGCTCAATGGAAGCAGTAGGTGCAATTGAAATGTTTCGACGTTCAATTAAAAAGCATGGTTTAATTTATAATCAATACCTTGGAGATGATGATACTTCATCACATAAAGAAGTAGTTAAAAGTAACCCATATGAGAAATATAGTATCATTCCAGAAAAGTTAGAGTGCGTAGGTCATGTCCAGAAGCGCCTTGGGACAAGACTACAAAATCTGGTCAAAGAATATAAAGGAACATTGACGTCCTTATCAGGGAAAGGAAAATTAACCAAAAAAAATATTAATTCAATGCAGAATTACTATGGAATGGCCATACGTAGCAATAAAAATGCAATCTACTGTATGAAGAAGTCGATTTTGGCATTGCACTGAGTTTGATGATGATAAATATCGCCACCAATTTTGCCCAACAGGTAGTGCGAGTTGGTGCAAGTACAAGAAACTGGAAACAAATGGGACATATAGACCAAATATTAATTTTGCAATGTGGATCCACGTAATACTTCGCCCAGTTTATTTAGAATTGTCTTCCGATGAGCTGTTAAAAAAGTGTTTGCACGGTCAAACTCAGAATTCAAATGAGGCACTGAATCATATAATTTGGAACAAATGTCCAAAAAATATCTATGTTAGTAGAACCATATTAGAACTTGGTGTTTATTCAGCTATACTGGAGTTTAATGAAGGATCTTTTGGAGTAGTCTTTAAACAATATGGAATTTTATGTAGTCAACCTTTTTTTAAACTTTCATCTTGCAGAGATAGTTCAAGAGTTAAAACTTTAGACAAAAAATCGACTGATGGTGCAAAACAACGCAGAAAAACCATAAGAACTATTAAAAAAAGACTTGTTGACATTGAATCAGGTGTTACAAAAAGTTATTCTGCAGGAGCCTTTTAAGATATTTAATTTTTTAAATGGTTTTTATGACACATCAAATTTTTCTTCGTTATTCTTCACTTCAAACATCATAACTTGGTCAAAATTTTATCAATTCACTTGAAAATTTCAGGAAATGTTCCTAATAATATACTCTAGAGGATGAGATTTTTATTTTGTTGTATATTTATGTGACTGTTTTACTAAAATGCAAAAAAAAATCAAAAAAATAACAACTTTTAATAAAATATTCACAAAAATGAATCAAAAATGAGTTTTATCTTCATTAATTCAATTTTTTTTCGCTCATCCTCTAGTACAATATGTATAGAAAAGGTTAATGATAAATTTTATTCAAAATAAACTAGGTTTTCTTGAGTTATTAAGTTTGAGGTTTGCTATGATTTTTCCTCAAAATGTACCTATTTTTGTTAAATAAGTAAAAAAAATTAAGCAAGATTTAAAAATTTTTGAAATTTTTTTTTATGAGTTGCTGTAAAAAATAGTTTGTTTGCAATTAAAACCAAAAAAATTCATTTTTTCAAAAAAAAAAATTTTTGTGATGAACCACCTTAAATAAAGTAACAAGTTACTTCTAATCATTGTTTACAATAAACCCATCTTATTTGAATCATCAAAGAATATAATATTTACGTAAAGTTTAGGGTGCATCGAAGTGCTTTATTTGAATCATCAAAGAATATAATATTTATGTAAAGTTTAGGGTTTATCGAAGTTAAGTTTAGGGTGCATCGAAGTTAAGTTTAGGGTGCATCGAAGTTAAGTTTAGGGTGCATCGAAGTTAAGTTTAGGGTGCATCGAAGTGCTTTAGAGAGCAACAAAAGTTGTTTTAAATGGTCTTGTCTGAGTTCTAAATGTGTTCTTTATAAATAAAATAATACTAGACTTATATGTTTTTTAAACAAAAATTTTTTTTAGAGATGTCCAAGACCCTTGAACTAATTAAGAATCCATTTTTAGAAATGAATTTATTTTTTGAAAAAAGTTAAAACGGAATTATGGAAAAGTCACATTTTTTTGCTAAAACTGAATGCTAATAATTTTCACAATTAGCTATTATTCGCATCTAATTAAACAACTTTTTAACTTTATTTTATTTATCTTTTTTTTTTATTATTATTTCTTATTCTTTACTATAATTTTCTTATAACAGTTTCCTGTGCAAATCTAAATCAATTTAAATCAATTAACAAAATCAAAATAAATTCAAAATGCCAATACAATATCAAAAAGAAACTAAAAAAAGAATACTCTGAGGAGCAAATAAGCATAGCAGTTGGAAGAATAAATAGTGTTGGAATAAGTTTATGCAAAGTATTAATTTTTTGTATATACTAATAATTTAAGGTTTGCTTTTCTGAAAAACTAATTCTTCTTTGGTTTACTTTAGTTTAACTGGACATTGAAAAATGTTTTTCAGCTCATTTTTTGTTTTTTAGATTATTTTTTTAATCGCAGAGAGAGAGAGAGAGAGAGACAAAGGGAGGGAGGGAGACAAAGAGAATTAAAATAATAATCAAATTAATAAAATTATTTTTCTGATTATAAAATTCTGATTATAAATTATTTTTCTAATATTTTATAATCCATCTTATTGTTTTTAATAATGTCTATTTAATGCTCGCAATCTTGTAAATCTTCTTAGCTTTAGATATATTACGTCATTTCTTTTAATGATATAATATACTTTTGCCTTTTGAAGCAGTTATCTCAGCATTCTGATTCCCAATCACCTTTGTCTTTACATTCAAAGTACTCATCTCCGCTTTAATTTAGTCACTAGCAATTCCCTTGATTTTTATTGCTGTTGTTTACACTTTCATGCATAATGATAATTATCTGGCAGTTATTTAATAGTTACCATTTATCTGTTGTGTTTTGAAACAACCAAGTTTAAAAATCCATGAACTGTATCAAAACTTAGTAATGGGATGGAGTTTGGGAAGTAGTTTACTGTTTTTGGAAGATTTTAATTATTGTTAGAGTTTGATTGAGAGTTTGGTTAGACATGAAATTATTAAAGTCCCAAAGATTGAGTTAACAAGTATTTAAAACAACTCTAGTTTTTTTCAATTTCAATTAATGGACTAAAGGAGCTGGAAAATCTTTTTGAAAAGCTTGTGCTGGAGTAACAAATAAGAAGATTCACTCATTAATATGTGATTTAAACATTAAAGCAAAGCACTTGCTAAAAGTTTGCTTTTCTTAAACAAAAGCAAAATGTTAAACATCAAATTAGACAAAAAAATAATGGTTTTCAAATGGTATATATGGTATAGGTGATGTTTTATAACTTCAATTAATAAGAGTCTAATATTGGCTTCTCAATATATTGGCTTCTCAAACATAAACAATCCATTTAGTTTTAAAGTCTTTTGGCTGTTTAAAATTATTGGTGAGTACTATTCTCTGAATTTATTTTCTAGGTTCAAAATCGCTATGATGATTTGAATAGGATGTGGAAAAAACTTCCAACTCACCATGAAAAAGAAAAAATTGCAGAAAACGTTGATAAAAGTTCTCAAAATTTATCAGAAGTAAGTTAATTATAAAAGTTTATCAGGAATTAATTAATTACTAATATTTTTTAAAAATATTTAGAATTATAGATATAAATATAGATAATGTCTATTAATACTTTTTTTGATTGTATCCTTTATTTTTATAATATATATTCTTTGTCTATCATAGTTGGTCTATATTATCTTTTTTAAACTTTAACTTTTAATATTGTAATTTTTTATTTTTCAATTATTGTTTTTTATTGCTATTTTGATTGTAATTGAAAGCTTGTGAAGCAAATTTTTAGACGAACCCTGCAACACCTGTTTCAGGCACTATTGTTAACAACACTAATCGCCCATTATCTCGATCAAATGAAAAGTTGGAGGATAGTAGTTCTTCATGGGAAAATATAGTTTTTAGTGATCGCTTTCAATTACCTTCTTTGGAAGTGCCACTACATGGTATAATAAATTTATAATAATTTTCAGAGACCAGGAGGGCGGTATAATAGGGAAGATTTGATTAATAATTATTATAATGTTTTTTATATATTATTATTATTATTATTATTATTATTATTATTATTATTATTATTATTGTTGTTGTTGTTATTATTATATCTGTTTTGATATTATGTTTATAGAATTGTTTTAACTTTACAAAACCTCACCAAACCTATATAACCAAAACCAAAAGCCTTAAAAATAAAGAATAAACTTATATAATTATTATATAGATTGGATTGATGGGCGACGTTGTACATTAATGGATAAAGACAGTCCTCTCTCTAGCATGAAACATGGTAGATTATATTTAACACCCAAGTAAGACAGTCAAGTAATTATTGTAAATAAAGTAGTCAAATAAAAAACTTCTGATTTGTAAATGCATACTAATCTTTTAGTTACATTTGTTTTGAAAGAAATCAATTTCACACAAAGAAGAATATTTCAATAAAACTGTCAGATATTGTTGCTGTTAAAAAGGTATCATAAATTATATCATATACTATATAAGTTATATATGTGTGTGTATGTTTATAAATATATAAACATAGAGGTTATCTAACTCTTTTCTATAATATATAATCATTTTTATATAATAACAACTTATGGTCAATTTAGTGAATTTTTGTTTAATATATTTGATGTTAACTGATGTTAAATTAAATTTAAATTTTTTGATTATTAAATTTTTTTTTTTTTTTTTACAACTTTTGCAACTTTTGTTTTTACTAAGATTAGCGTAATATATTTTATATTTTATATATAGACATTAAAATGGCTACATGATTATGTAGTAGCTACGTTGCCACGGGCCACACACTATGTAAAAGTTAACATCGTAAAAATGCAGAGACTTCTGGAGAGACTTCTCTTTTAGCAGTGTCTGTAATAAGGGTAAATCTGTTATTCTTTATCTCTTGCATGGTTCAGATTTTTTGATCATGCTGAATTGTTTACTAAGAACTTTTCATAAATCTTAAAACTAACCACATCCTAACTTAAAACTAACCACATCCTTTAAACTAACCACATCCTACCTGATATAGCAAACAAATAGGTTGATCCATTGCTTGACATTCGCATCACTTTAGCTTCTGTATCTGAAGTGATTTCCTGTTTAGACTCTTCTACAGCTTGTGGTTGTGGTCTGGGCAACATACCTGTTATAGTTTTTCATGAGTGTTCTTTGGAGCTGTCATCTATACTTTTAAAACTATTTAACAAGTGCTTATTAGAATCTTGTTTTCCAGCCTGTTGGAAAGCTGCATCTGTTATCCCTATTTTCAAAAATTCTGGAGTGTGATCTGACTCATTTAACTACAGTCTTCTTACTGTCATAAGAAAGGTCTTTGAGTCTTTCATTAATAAACGCTTAATATCTCATCTTGAATCTAATAACTTACTTTCTGATCATCAATATGGATTTCGTTCTACTCATTCCACTGC